AGCTGGTGTCAAGACGTTTCCGAAACATTGGTTACAAACCCTTTTTGCTTGAGATCTTCCTGAATTACGAACCTTCAAAGTTTGCAAAACCATCATTATAATCTAATATAAAATAATTTAACATACATGTAATTACAATACTTGATATACAATAGATGATATTTTCCACCTTTTCAATGCTCCTTTTAGTTGAATTTTTTCAATATTATTCTTAATCGCTAGTAATCACTGGTGACTGACAGTACGAAAAATTTCCGTTTCCGAAAAATATGCCCCATGGGAAGCCAGGCGCCAGGCTACTTAAAATCGGAACGGAACGATGCTGATTGGTTGCCCCTACCACCGTTGGTTCACCTTTCCGATTCCGTGTTCCGATTCCGTGCCCATGAAGCCCATGGCACATACAAAAACGTAAGGCCGTAAGCATAATCAGTAAGCGAATTGGCCAATCACGATAGAGACCGTAAGGCCAGTAGCGAATCCAATCTTACGATTTCTTTACTGCTTACGTATTACGGCCTTACGTTTTTGTATGTGCCATGGGCTTGAGACAGAACCCTCATGGAAAAAATCGGAATGGATTCCGATTGGAATTATTCAATTATTTCCTAGATTTTTATTGTGTTTTCTAGAGAAAACGGAATAATTCCGATCGGAATTCATTTCGACATGTTCCATGATAGGTACCCAGTAGGCCTATTCTGTAATTTTTTAACGACAATTTTACTAGTTAGGGATGTCGTTGCACAGGTATTTTACATGGTGAAAAAACTGCACAACGACAATATAACGATACCGAACTGTCGTTAAAAGTTACAGAACAGCCCTACAGGTGTATTCCGAACCGGATTAACTTTAAAGTCACTAGATTTATAAAGTACCGCAAACTCGCATCCATTTTGACGCAAAACGCGGCCATTTCAAATTCACGCATTTGTATACACGTACTTTATTTGTGAAAATGAAGCCTTCGAGTACGTAAATCAATGTTGTTGAATTGTAATTAGTTTATTTATGACCAAAGAATATGTAGGAATGCTTAATTTATGTGTTCTTTAGTTTAATATGGATTTATTTGTTGTAGAAGTTTTGTGCATAAAAGTGCACGAAGGATACGTGTAAGTACAGTTCGGAACTGTTCAGGAACACAAAAGTACACGTCACACGTGTGATTACGGCACGAGCTTGAGCATTTTTAAGATATTATTTAGCCGGGGTAAATGTGTTTTTGCCGAGTTATCTCAGTATTTTTTAAAAGTGGCTGACTACAATCGTGGATTTAGTCACACATAGATTTTGAGGGTTACCGAGTGATATCATAACCTACATTTATTTCTTTATATCAAGATTCTATTTCCTCGTCTGACTAGCTGTTCGTTGTCGTACCGAAAAAAGAAGATATATCACCGAAAGAAGACAAATTTCATAAGAGGTAAATGTTGAGTTTCATTCATTGTTTGTAAGAATTTACTGATTAGATTGCATATAAGTAAAGCCTGATTCTCCTCTCTCTCAATGATAAATTTACGCCTTCAATCGATATTGACTTGAAAATGGGCGCGTTCAAGTTGACAAAGCGGCTAACCTGCTCGCCAAGCAAATGAACATAATTGGTTGTTACTTATAGATCCAACCAATCATATTCAATCGCTCGGTAAGCACGCCTAGCCGCTTTGCCGTCTTGAACTCGCCCAATGTCTTGAAGAAATGTACGGTAAGGTTAGCTGCACCCAATTGACCCAATGTGTACGTTGGTGTACTTCGAATCATGTACTATGTGCCCTTCGGCCATTTTGATGCATCATTTCTGAAAGAGTTTGCGGTACTTTATAAATCTAGTGACTTTAGTTAACTTAGCTTATTTTTCCCCCTAGATGTTGGCAGTTCTGTAACTAAACTTAGAAGTGTTCCGAACCCGTCGGTTGTCATAAAACCCAAGACACAATGGG